TTTTTCATTTTATCTTGTAAAAGCCTTGCAAGATGTTACAAGAAACAGTTAACATTGTTGGTAGAAATTATTTTATGAAATACAGGATCATTTAAAAAAAAAAAAAAAAAAAAAATTAACAAAAATAACATTTGAAAACAAAAATAATTTGTTGAAAGAAAATAAAAAATTCTGTAATTTTTCCTTGAGTATTTTCATCCTGCCATGTGTATGCATTTTGAGGAAAAATATAGAATTTTCCTTTTATATTTTTCCATTTTGTTAATTTATCATTTTTATATATTTTTGTGGCAGAGTTATCTATTTATCAGCAGATAATTCTTAAATTGATTTTTAAACTTTCAGATTGAAAATTGAACCAATGTAATAGTTTGCATGCAAATACATATGTACATACACATGCACCACAAGTCTTTACTTGTAAAAGTAGGCATAAATGCCAGTGTGGAAATATATGATGTGTATAGATTCAGAATTGTTTAACAGCAAAATAGCCTCAAAGTAAAAATTAAAATCCAATGTTAAGGCTAAAAATCCCACCAAAAAGAGAAAAATATCTAAGAAGTGTAGAAATTATTTCGGGAGAAAATATAAAATATTGATCATGTGATTGGCTAGAAAGTAGAGGGATTGCAAAAGTAAAAATACGTATGACAAGAACATTTGATTTTTAATGGAACAGTAGTAATAAGATAAAAATTTTTTGAGGAGGTGAAGTGCAAATTTTATACCAGAGATGAAAATATAAAAAGTAAACAATTATGGAATGTTATAGGAAGAATTAGAAATTATGGAAGGCTTTCCAAATTCTACATGAAAGATTTGTTCACAGCTAAATCTCACACAAATACTAAATTCCTTAAAATACTTACCATCTTGTATTTTCTTGATCAAGGAAATAATAAAATAAAATAAAAATACACTCACTTGAAAATTATTACCTGTACTACAATAGTTATATTTCCATGCACACACTCAAATCTAGCAACTATTATATAAGAGCTAAAATTACACAAATACAGTATCTTCTATAAAAATGTAGGTTTCATTATAAGTTAACATCTATTCAAATAACACTTTTATAAAAAGGTGAATTCCTCTAAAATTAAAACTAAGCTGTAAATCATTTTAAGTAAAAAGAACATTTAATGTAATTTTTCTCTACATAAATGAATTATCAGTAATTATTAATAAAGCAGAGAAAGACCTAATATTTTTTAATTTTTTGCAAGGTTTTCAATCTTCCTTTAAAAAAAATAATAAAAAAAAAAATAAAATATCAATCTCCTAGATTATAGAAATAGAAAAAACTAAATATCTTAACCAACATCATACTATCAATTTGAAAACTTGCCTAAGACAATAATATTGCTCATCCTATAAGATGTCTCAGATGTTATGTTCTACAGGTGCTTATCATATTTGACAATTTGAAATTGAACCCTTTATTCAATCCATATGACAATGTTATTCTTAATCTACTGTTAGGATATCTATCAATTAATTCTTTAAAGTTCATCTAAGACAACAGGAGAATGAAATAACCTAACCTTATGAATTTCCGGTAGATTTACTTAACATGACAAATATTTGAGGCTGTAACAATGAAGAGGTTACCAATTGAAGCAAATCAGTGTATAAGTATTAAGTTTTAATTTTTAACTTAAACCTTGATACTAAAGTATGGAGAAAAACAAAAATCACAGTCAAATTATATCAAAATTATACACAAAAGTTAACTAAAAAAGAAAATAAAAGTTAAGATCAACAGAAGTAAAATTAAGCTAATTATTCATAATATTTTTAGTGTTTGGTTTAATCATTTATTCAATAAGGAAATAGGGAAATGCATGTCATCACAAATGAGGACTAAAATAATGAAAAAATCAAAATACAAGAATTACTGAAAATATGTCAGGAATATTTGGAAGTAAAGATTCTATTAAAGTCTGTAAAATTAGTTTAGCTGTAAAATGGCAACAAGTTTGCTATTTTATTAGGTTTTTTTGCTTGAAGCTTATTGGAATATTCATATTCAAATAAACATCAAGTTTTCACTGACATGAAGTGAAAAGATTATATTGAATTAATTGTTATGTCAGCTGCAGTGAAAGTTGGTTCACTATATCATACTAGACAATTTCTCTTGCCAGAATTGTATCTTACATATTTACATGTCTACCATTTGTGCATGCATTGAATATTGCTACCATATCTCATCTGATGCTTCTGCTATATATTTAGATATTCTTTATAAAATCCAAAGAAGAACCTGCAATGTTATTGGTCCTGATCTAGCATCTTGGCTTCTGTCACTTTCCCAATGCTTTAACAGCTTCCCTGTACCCTTTTCTATAAATATTTTCATGGTAACTGTTCTGATGAACTTTTCTCCATGGTTCCTAGACTTTATAAACTTAAACAGTGTAGATTAGTGGCAAGGTTTAATCATTTTACAGTTAAAATGGTTAGATGTAATCAAATTCTATACTAATAGCTTCTCTTGCACATGGAACTCTTCCAGCTATTTGCTTTTCAGTCATCAAAAATTTAAATGTAATGTCAATTGTTATCTTTTGTCTTAATTCCTGTTCTTTTATCATTTTCACTTGAGTGTTTTTCTAATTCTCATACACAGTAACCCTTGTCTTTATTACCTTGATTAGGGTGAAATAAAATGTATATATCTCACTTTTTTCCTCATAAGCATTTCCTATTAAAAAATCAGCTTTAATTTGAATCAATCTCTCAGACAAGTATTAAGTCAGAATTACTTGATTTTTTTTATTAGATGTATTAACTTTCAAATATGAAGATATACTGATATAAAAACAGATTGTTAATACTTAACAAAACACTCCAAAAAGCAAGTAGATTTTTGTAAACAATGTACTAGATATTAAAAAATAAAGCAACAATATTTAATAGATAAAGAAAATTTCAAAAGACTTTCCGACTTGCAAGTTTTGTAGATACACACCACTTGTCAAGGTCAGATAAATTTGATTTATCAGACCCTAACAAGCACTGTATTTGTGAAACTTGGAAAGATATTTCTTTTGAACTTTTAACTAAAGATACATTAAATTTAAACTCAAATTCTCCAGCCAATCACAATTTTCAAGAAAGATTTTTAATTATGGTGGGGCAAGGTGGGAGACTAAGATTATGTATGAAACTTTTTTTTTTTTAAATGGCAAAAAAGGAGAGAAATACCTGAAGAAAATTTGATTGTAATTTTTCTGGGAGATTAGAAATGGAGTAAGTGTTAGGATTCTTACATCCCTATAGATAGGCCTACCATATGACCTAGTGACCTGCTGGAGATACACTATCAGTTTTTATTTTTATTATTTTAATCCTCTTTAACCTTAATTCTGAAGCTTGAGAGTGTATTTAGTCATGAAAACTATTATACAACAACCTGAACCTATAATAAAAATTGAGAACAGCCCTGGTTCAAGGTTTATAAGAAATTATGGTAAGCCTACTTTTGTGCCAGCAAGATTTAAAATTTTGCTTTCAGTCAAAGTAATTAGAGGGGAAGAAAGGAGGAAATTTTTTTTTTTTTAAAATGTAAACATTCTAGGAGCAGCCATCATGGACATGTATGAGAAAATATGAAAATAAAGGCAACTTGGTCAGAATTTTCGTTTTTACAATACAGAAAAACATTAGATTTGCATCGCAATGAGTTAAATTCATGAATATTTAAAAAAATTTGTGGGACAATAAAGTTGAAAGTTATTCATTTTCACAGAAATTCGAGAATAAATGAAAAGAAACCAGTGGTCAAGGGGATAATTTAATGTTTTCTTTATTTCCCCCCCTCCTACTACCCAACAGGTTAATGTACACTTATAATTAGAAAGTTTAAAAAATTGGAAATTTATTTTATATAAAAATTTATTAAAAGTATTACAAAAATTTCAAAAGGCGACTTGATTACCTTAATTTATCATTCAAGCTATACGAGACAATTGAGAGATTATCAATTTTAATTCTTAGGTATATATCTATTTAAAGAAAACTGGTTAAACTATTTTAGATCAAGTAACAAAAAACCTAATAGAGAAATTAAATTGGAAAAAAATAAATTCCTTCGGTTATTCTGTTTTCAGTAGAGTATATTAGGCATTGCTTGATTATACAGAAATGAACAATCAAATCATGTACCACAAATACTGAAGGTAAAAAAAAAAAAAAAAAAAAAAATGATGCAGAAGAAAATTGGGACAAGATTGTCAAGATTCAATATACAAAGTAAAATGGGAATAGGTTTCATTAATGACCTTATGATGGACCCAATTCTTTGTAATATTTCTTATCAGAAAGTATGAAAATATTTAAGTACAGGTTTCAAAAATCAATGATGATTAATTACATCTACTTTTATTTATACATATTTTTTTAATAAAAGATTTAACCCTGGGTAGCACATAAGGCACAGCCACCAAAGAAGTAAAAAGACTGCTTCCAGATATTTGCATCCATACTAGAGTGCAAGAAGTGTTGTTTTTTTTCCCCCCTCATATAAAAAGGTCTTTATCATAGTGAAGAATAGCTTTTTGTTTGTTTGTCACTAAGAATTTAAAAGAAATTGCATGTGACTTGCTAGGGAAATATTTTAAACATGTTGAGAAAAATTGTATTTTTAGAAATTTTAACATGTAAGATGAAAGAATAGATTTTATCCCAATTTGATGTCTTTAATTAAAAAATAATTTTTGAAAATCTTTTAGTGTCAACAAATAGACCAGAAATTAAGATATGATTATAGAACATTACTTTTATGCAACATATGATTTATTTATATATATATATATATATATATATATATATATCAACGATTCTGAATTTGATTTGAATTTAGAGAAAAATGAGAAAAGGATAAAAAACTGTTTTAGATGTAAGGTAAAAAAAAATCCAGGTATTCGAAAAAAAATACAAACCAAAACAAAACCAGGAATATAAAATTCACAACATTGTTACCATTTGACTTATACTGAAGTCCCAACATCATTACTACTGACAGCAGATGCCTGCAAATAAACAAAAAAATGGTTAACTACCAAAAAATTACAATTAAAGAGGGGAGGGGTATAAAGTATTAATATCTAGAGTTTAACAATTTTAGAGTTGGAATGATGGAACTAAGCTATAAAAAAAATTATGAATTATTAAACAGAACAGCATTTTAAACTTAAAGCAGACAGAAAAATCTCACTCATTTCTATAAAAATACAATGCTATATATTTAACAATTTTGAAGGGTCAGACTATTCACTTGGTGTTTAAATAGTATTTATTTATCAGTAGAGTTCTTTAGTAAAGCAAAAAAGAAGTATTCCATAAATTTAGTAGTCTAATAATTACTCAAGTAGTTAATAGCTAAATAGTGCTAAAAGGATATTTGACAAACAGAAGTGATTCTTTGCTTAACACTTTAATGAGTAAAATAAATACTCCCTCATGTCTATGAAAATACAATGCTATATACAAATTCGTTTCCAATAAATTGGATAAAAATCTATATAAAATCGAGTCTTCCAAAAGCAACTGTTCTGAAAATTAAAGTTATATTTCAATTGTATTGCTTTTCTTGCAACAATTCAGATTAAAATAAATCTGAAGTCTATGTATAGTATAACCTTCTAGCCATGTAGAAGTTGAATTTTAATTTTTGTAGAAGCTAATTTTAATTCCACATCATATTTGCTTAATATATACAGATTAGTATTAGTGATTTATCAGGTTATGAACTTCATTTGTGAGAATTGTTTAACAAAAAAAGCAATTGCTACAAAGATATGTGGTTTTATTAACCTGCCCAACTTTCTGTAAAATAAAAAAATTAAAAATTCATACTTAAGCAGCAATATTAACAAGATCCACAAAATGTCTTGGTACAACAAAGTTCCTTTTGTTTCTTTTTTTTTTTTTTTAAATCAAATCTTTATATAATTGAACTGTGTAGATGAATAAATGTAACAAGTCACAATATTTTATAAGTGATTTGTAATAAAATAATCAATAGTTTGAAATTAAGATAAAAGCCTAAAATGGAAAATAGCAATCCTTTAACATCAACCAGGACAATTTGCCAAAGATTGCCTAGAAATCTTTAACACTTATCTGTAAACCTAGCAATATCTAATTTGTTTTTTGTTTCTATTTTAGAACAAACAGAAAATATGCTGCTCAGTATTTAAAGGAGAGAGAGAGAGAGAGAGAGAGAGAGAGATCCAACACATAATTAACAGCAAAAATTCTTTAAGTATAACAAATGGTATTTGCATCTTGTCTATAGGAAAACTTAAGCAAACTGACTAATGCCAAACTGAACTTAAGCGTTTAATATTTCTGATATGAAAATTTGATACAAGCTATATTTTTTTTACATGCAATAAAATTCGATATCTAAATCATGTAAATATTTCAACTTGTGATAGACAACTGAAGGGTGTCTGAAAAGAATGGATAACTTAAATATACAGAATAAATGAACATTATAAACATTTTATAAAATTGTTAAATAAGATATTAAATTTTTCTTACTTTTTGTACAAAAAGCTTTACCAATGAACAAATAGTAAATATTAATACAAATACTATAAAATCCCAAATGACCTTAAAAGCAAACAAAATCAAATTCTTTAAGAAATTTGCATCACAGTCTGTAAGAAAATAGCAAATTATACTCCATTGAAATGCTATATTCCAACTTTACATGCTTTAAGTGTATCAATTCTTTTTCAAACAACCTGCATTTTAATTAAAGTACAGAAAGCAAGTTTTCATAATTTGATCACAATTTCAGAACAAAAAATTGCCACCAGACAGCAGAAAGCAGATCCAAGTTAATATTTTTGTTTTTAATAAGGAAAAAGAAACTTTACAGTAAATGCACTTATGACCAACAGGAGATATTTAAGGGCAGAGGCAGTTTAAGAAACGCGTAGGCCTTGGTCTCTGATTTTTTAAATTTTTTAATTTAAAAAAAAATCTTTTTAAATAATAAAACAAACAAACATGAACATTGTTTCATATATTAAGGTAAATTACTTTTTTCTTTTAATAATGTTATGAACTATGGAAGTAAATTATTCAGAACTTATGCTGCTAACCAGAGAGCAATTTATTTAAATTTTAAAATACTTTAATTCACTTATTTTAATAAAAGATTGAATTATAAAATATATATAAAAATATTTTGAAATTTAAGTTTCAAGAGGTAGTAAGATCATGGTGACATTCTTTATTTTACCACATTGCAAAAATACTTAAAACATTTTAACTTAAATTTAGCATATAGATAGGGTTTTCAGTTTTTTCCAACTATATGGCAGTAGTAATTTTGTAATCTATTGAAAGATTACAACACTTATTTTTAAATGACATCTCCTTTCAGAAGAGAGGTGACCATGGCTCTCTACAACACCTTTTTTCTTTACTATTGCTGAATTGCTTGGGAAAGATAGTGTAAAATGATTTCATGTTGCTTTTACCCAGGGTTTTGAATTCAGTGTAGTCATTCTAGACTGGCTTCCATTCAAAGCTAAGAGTCCAGTCTACCCTTTTATTTAACCTATAGCTGGTTTGGCGAAGAATAGATGGATCCATGACTTTCCCAAGTGTACCGGTGTGAAAGTAAATGGAATAGATTTTACCAATTTCTCTTTCCACAGATATCCATTACACTAATTGCACATCCATAGTGTCATTCATTAAATTGTAAAGCTACTTTCATAGAATTTGTATGAGCTTGTAAGTGTGTTAAAACTTGAGCTCATGTTTTATTGATAAAACTTTTTCTGTTTGTCAATTTTCTTGACTATTTCTATTTTTCTCTCCTGATTCCCAAATTGCATGGAGATAATTTTAAAATGCAAAAATGTATCTCAAATTACTATAGTAGTTTGATAAGATTCTGTAGACTTCAGTTCTTACTGCATTTTTTTATTAAGACTTTGTGATTTTTAGTGTTCTAAAATGTTTAATTCAGTTTTTAATCAAATAGAGTAAAACTCTTTATTGTAACAAATCTGTTATAGTTTTTACAGCTTTATAAGGTAACCATTATCCTTAAATATTTAGTGTATCACTATCTACTCTATACAAATAAGATTACTAAGTGACATTTGAAACATCTATATATTCAATTTGAAAATATGAATCGTTAGCAAGAAAAATTATCTTAGCAAATCAATTGAATGCCACTCACAAACTGGAATAATGTCCCCCACAATGAATTATAAAGCAAATTGTAACACAAAATGAAAAAGTGCAGGAATCTTGGCAGTTTTATTTTAAATAGCCCCCAAATGTATTAATAAAAGCAATTAAAGTTGAGTGTTGTGATTTTGTTTCTTTAATTTTACATACCCACTTCCTTTTTATGCAGTTTATTTTTTTTTTAACATTTAAATATTTTTATTCAATTTATATCAAATTTAATTATATTGACATTTACAGAGCACTTTAAAACTTAATAGACAGCTGGTACAATATAGATAGGATGATTACCAATTTATGATTTGGGAACACAAGTCTGAAGAGAAGAATAAAGATATAAAAAAATTCAAATGGAAAAATGTTTACTTGCAGGTTCTATTTGCAGCTTTTAAAATGCATATTTTAAATACATATGGCAGTCTTTAAAAAAGTTTTGATGAGTCATCTAATGACTTTTTATATTAACATTGATTCACATATTTGTATTCACATTCACTGTGAATACAAAATAAGGGTTTCCTTAAAACTATCTTTATTAGCAATGATCCCATGAAGAAAATTAGTATTGTTGAATGATATCAACAGGCATTTTCAAAGAAATCTAAAAACAATATTACACAAAAATCAATCAAAAAAGTTTCTACTTTTAAGTTCCAAAATTGTTTTTATCTATTGGGGGGGGGGGGTCAATATTTACTGGCATTGAAAGGAGTATCAGTAAACAGTTCAAATTTCAACCTAGTCTATGTTCACTCTTGGATCAAACTTTTTTTACTCCCAACTATGGTTTAGATAGCAAAGTAGACTGGGGACTTTAGCTTTGTGTAGTAGACAGCTTAGGAGGACTACATTAAATATGGAGAAAGCAATGAAAAACCACTTCACTATATTTCTCAAGAAGTCATGGTACTGCACTAATCTAGAGTGTAATGATTGTATGCATCCTGAAAGGACAGCAAAAAAGTTTATATAAATAAAATAAAAGTATGCTTATCTAATCACAGAAACTGGTAAAAACTCCTAACTAATACTTGATTATACATTTCTACAGAATAGAAAAAGTAGGCAGAATTTTTTTTTTTCAATAGTTTAGCTAAAAATACTAAAGGCAAAAATGATTTTCAACAAATATTTCAGCAAGAAGTAAAAACATTCTAGAATAAAAAGCAATGATTTTTTATTTTGTGAGTTTATTTTTTAAGCTATAGCAAGAAAATTTTTTTTTTACCTCAAATAGAAAATTAACTTCGAGAACAAGAGTTATTTTTACTACTTCATAATTGTGGTATTTTTTATAAATGAAAAGATGTGATCAATACACACAAAATATTCACTTTAACAGCTAATTTATAGTAGCAGTTATCAAAATAGTTTATATCTAGGATTTATATTGTATATTTTCATATACTATGAATATAATTGAGGTGTAAGTAAAGGTTTCCAGAAAACCTATTTAAACAGTCATCAGTTTTATAGCTTAACTATATAAAAAAATGTAAATTATACTGGTATTAGAAAGTTTTGTCCTTTTTATTTGATACACAAAGGATAGATATCCTTAGAATGATTTCTGCAATATTTAGGTAATTATTACAAAATATGAGTTGTTAATTTCAAGTGTCAAAAGTGAATGTGAGAAAGAGACAAAAATCAATGGTTTACATCTTCATTTCTATTTATTTCTTTAACAGTTGAAACAATACCACTGAAATCAAGTTCTAGCCATATTAAACTTTGTCATGAGGCATTATTCACTGTTAAATAATACATTTCCCTGTCAAAAAGTATACATATATATATAAAATATTTTAAGATTGGCAAATAAAGTCTAAGCTGGAAATTATTTAGACCCAAAGCTGAGACTAACTACCAAAAAATAAAACAGGTGCAAAGGGAAAACTGAAAAAGATTTTGAAATGATTGAGAAATTCCACTGAACACCAAATTTAAAAGGTAAGGGAAAAACCATATCTACCATGACCTTGAAAATGGAGCAAAAACAGGTGTAAGCTAATGAAATAAATGGAACAAGATTTATCAAAGCGTGGATGAGCAGATTTTTATTAAACATAGCTACCTAGCTAGTAAGATAACTAGCCAAATAGTTAGATAGCTAGACAAGTAGGTAGTAGGCACCATGCCCTAAGTGTTGCAAATATTTATCAACATTTTCTTCTGTAGGCAAGTGATAGAATATAGGAACACTTTTTACCAACTCACCATGACGCCTAACTGAGCCTGTGAAACAAACAACATATCATTAATGAACAGTCACACCTTCATTTTGCCAAAATTCTTTTATAATGAACATTGACCATTAAGAATGTGTTTCCTAAAAGCATAGATAAATTTACAAGCAGCAATTTAAAACTTGAAATACTAAATTTATTGTCAGTACTTACCAATTCAAAATATCAAATGTGTAAAAATTTATCTTCCTTGTATTTGTTTTGTTACATATAAGGATTTTCTTTTACATTTGTCTTTATGGATAGACAAAAACGGTTTGGAAGTAAAGAAATATTAAACTTTTAAATAAGACAGTTGATTAATGTTTGTTATACAGTTATGCAATTTTAGATCTAAGAAAAAAGTTTTTGTAAGTATCAAAGTATAAAAAGGTGCTGAAAATTTCTTAGCCTGCTCCACTTCCCAAAATAATCTGACCAAAGGAGTAAACAGATTTCTTTTTTTTTTTTTACAGAATCCCATATTGGTCAGACTTCCAGCATTCTTAACAGAAATGCTTCAATAAGGATATTTATATCAATGTTTTAAGATTTAACAAATAAGCCTTTCTTTATCACATAAAATGAATTTATGTGAATGTCAATCTAACCAAATGTTCATATGTTTAAATGAAATATTTTCAATATATCATTTTATTTTGATGAGTAATTCCATTTTCAAAACTCAGAAGAAAATTTTCATATGGAAGAAGCTGGAAAACTGGCCTAAATTTGATCAAATTTTTAGATGGGAAAGTGGATTTCTTCAAATGGGAAATGTGATTTTTCTTATACCATCAACTGATATTTTCATGCACAGATGTTCATTGATGATAAATTTCAGTATTGGTAATTTGAAATTTATCAATGCTATATGATTGTACTATTAGACTACAGACATGCCTTTCAGTTCAAGATCTGGCAAGGAGCAAAAAAGGATTTATATAGCATCCATTGTAATTGATTAATATTCATCTGTACAACAAGAATCAAGTTGGAAAATGATAAAATGGTATAAGAAAATAGTACATAGAAAATGAATAAAAAATATTACAAATTTATAAATCAGTTTAGAAAACATTACTTTATGCTCAATATAAAAACTATCAAAAATTGAATATTTAGTTATATTCCGTTATATATTAAAACTTAATATGCCTGTTTGCAGAAAAAGTTTTAAGAAAATTGTTTAAGAATATTGTAACTAGTTAAGGGCACGCATAACTTACCAGTTTTTGACTGAGTGCATTATTATACAATTGCCCTTGTTCAACTTCCTTCTCTTTCTGGGCTAATTTTTTTTTCAGCTGAAAAAGAGAATTCAGCTCTGTATGACAATAGCAACAACAGTTGCTTTATGTAGATGCAACACATCTTAGAAAGCAGCCATCATGGTCAATTACTGTGAAAAGAATGTTTTATTATTATTTAATATATATAAAAAACAATTTAGTCTTCTGCATCTTCCAGGATCTTATGAAGATTTGGTACATCTTTGGTAACCCTGATCATTATCAAAGTGCAAGCAAATTTAGTAAAATTGTTATCAGACAGAACTTAAAGAACTTAATCAACAATGATCAATTTTAAGAATGTTATCTTCACATTAATCTTAACCATTTTGTTTTATAGAGTTATCCTTCATATAAATAACTTAAAACTAATATTTAACAAATTAGGTTGAGTACTTAGATTCAAGTATGTATATGAGAGTAACAGACGTTTTTGTGAAAAGTATTGTTTAACTTCACAACTTGAAATCAGACTACCAAAATACTTATAAAAATTGAACAAGCTTGGGTTATTGTGCAGTATTTAATTACTATTGGGCTTCATAATATATATATTTTTTATTTAAAGATTGCCATCTAGTTCTCACTTTTACAAGATGTCTATATTTCCGAGATGAGGTATTATGTACACTATTTACATTGCTCGGACTATCATCCTCATCTTTGTTGCCATATTCAGGACACATGGCACATTATAAGGTGGTGGAAAACTTGACGAGGGGAATTAACAGGAGGTAACTGATAACTGACATCCATTGGACATGGCACTAGAACAGTCTACTCTAGCGAGTGAAATAAAGGGTTCAGTTCGACATTCCAACCACTTGAAGGCAGCCAGGGCATACAACAGCCGAAACGTTATGATAAATATGGCAACAAAGATGAGGATGATAGTCTGAGCAATGTAAATAGTGTAGAAAGTAGATAAATGATAATTCAATTTTGTACTTAAGATTTATATTTGATCACCACTATTTATATTTTTATTAATTACTAATTTATATTAGCATTCATAAGAATGGCCAATGTGAGTTTTAGTTTATTCCAATTTGTTGGCAATGCATGAAAGTGACTGAGCCTGTTAACAAAATTAGAACCAAATTGTGATCATTAGACAAACAAAAAGCCCTAATTTGATTTGTAATAAATCTCAAAAACAGTAATAAAATGAAGATTTATTCAAGTTTATAAAGGAATCTGAATTGAGATTTATAAATCCAAGTAAAAAAAAACAAAAAAAACTAACCTCTTCAACTTCTTGTGCTGCACTTGGTGACTCTGTAGAATTCTGTAAGATTTAAGAACAAAATGTCAAAATTTTAAAATTATTATCAAAGTGGTTTTCATAACAAAAATGCTGTCTGACATTAAAAGAACTGTTCATATTTGGGGAAGTGGATCAAACCAAAAACTTTAGTAACCACTCCATATGAAGAAAAATCTTAATACAAGAAAACGATTAGAATGAGTTCAAGCAACTTTTATAATAATGACTTCACAAGACTAATACAAGATATAGATACACACACAACAGAAAAAAAAGAAGATAATGATACCCACTTTTTCTGCTAATTGTTGCTTTAATTTACAAACAAGTTCCTGTTCCTGAGACAAAGCATCTTGGCCAGTCTTGATAATTCCATTCAATTTGACAATTGTTTGTGAAAGGTCACGTACTTTCTTCTCATCTTCTTCCACTTGTAAACGTAAGAGTTTATATTCTTTTTCAGTTTGTGAGTTAACAGCTTCTAATGACTGAAAAATAAAATTACAATGTTTTGATAAATGTAGTAAACAATGATTAGTACATTTTTATGTCAGTTTTCTGATAAACACACTTTCACTATATTTATAATATAGAAAATCACTTCACAATAGAGAAAAGGCTAGAAAGCAAGGTTAGTTTTGTATGCCCTACACTTGTGGCATAGCGCTTGACATAATAAATTCCCTTTATAATATTCAAAGTAGCCTTGTTTCTATCTACAGTAAAATCTCGATTTAAAGGAGGAGGGTATGTTCCTGAAAACCAATAAATCCATTTCATCAAGAAGAAGCAAGTTCTTTAGATCTGCGCATTTAATGAACTTTTTAAATCTAAGGCATCTAAAAAAATAACTAATATCACATAAAATGGTATAAAATAAACTATTGTAGATACTTGTCCTTGCTTCTACTGAGATGATCTTTGCAAGTGGTGTTGTAAATGTAATCTGCATTGTAGTTCACTTTGTCCTCATAACTGAGGTAATATAATTTTCAAAGCTTCATATATAAGTAATCCTATCAATTCTGAGGGGTACCATGTTAACATGGTTGTCAGCACTGTCTTTAAAACTCAGTTGAGTTTTTTTTTTATACCTGTTTGGGTTGCTGCATTTTCTTTTATTTTACTAATAAAATTTAAAGAAATCAAGATTATCCAATGTTCTTTACAGTTTCTCATTTAAGTCAAGTCTGGAGTAGGAAACAAACAAGTTTTATCAAATTCATCTTTTGATCTTTCAAAAACCATGAAATGTGCAAGAGGTTAGTGAATAATAGATATAATCCAATAAATTGTAGACAGCACAAGTTTGTCAAATTAACTATTTTTGACTAGATCTAGATGATTTCCACCAATTCAGCTGAAAAAAAAAAAAAAAAGTTACAAGTCAAAATTTAAGTAAATGTTTTGCTTATTAAAGAAAACATTTGTCACTTAAATTCAGGGATTTTATTTTATTGCAAAAATATTTCAGAAAAATAAAAAATAATTCAGTATATCATATATACACATTCCTTTATGAAATAAAAAAAATGCAATTTTGTAAATGGATTGGACTATAACTTGGAATTATCAAAGCATGTGAATCATTTTTTTCAATTACCCAATATTTAGTCAAACATTTAATCAAATCTGCTGGTGTTACTTGCTAAAGTGTCCAAACCTACACAGGGATGCAAGTCTTATGTGTCTTGGCATTCCATCAACCAGCATAGTGTGCAAGTTATCAATTCCAGTGATATGCCCCACCTGATACTTAGGTGCACACCAGCTGTATAGGGCTTTTACCCACACACAGTTGCCCAGGTTGTATGTTGTTCATTCTTTTACTCGTTTAGTTGAGTTCATTGTGTCTTAGCCGGACTTGGTAATGGTAAATCATGTTGGCTGGCACAGTTGAGGGTGACACATCTTTAGTGGGTGATGTTGTGCCAATATACTGCTACCATTACAGGACACTACTTCCTGGCAGCAATTTTCTTGACGCTGTGATGGCAGCACTCGATTATACCATTTCCTGATAGGATGTATGTGCAGTGAAATCAGAGGTGAAGTCCCCACAAATCCAAAAGTCCTTAAAGAATTCACTGCAGAATGCAGTATCGTTGTCAATGAGGAGTTTCATCAGAGGTCCACTTTCAAAGAATGTAGTCAATCACACTTGCAGAATCCTGTCAATACAGGCATTGCCAAATAGTGAGCTGGGTGGGGACCACAGTCAATCAGTTAGATAGTGATTTCCACTGTGGTGGGTGATGCCCATTCAACCTAGTGCCACACTTTGCTCACATTCAATTGTCCTTTTAGCCATTGCCTAGGTAGTGGATCAATGGATTGGCACTCTTTGCATTATATGACAACTGCTCTGATGGCAGCTTTGGATACAGAGGGATCAATCTGCCTCATAAAATACAGCGTCCATTTTATACCGGGATGGATGCTTTGACAATGCACTGATTTTAGCAGATCTGAGTTACAGTCATTCGCCAACATTGCACAAACATGTCCCACTGGTTCTACCTCTTAATTGTCTCAAGCCATCTCTGGGGCACCCTTGTTAATTGATCCACCTTATCCAGTTCAATCTGATCACTTGTATAACCACTCATAAGTTGTATTCATTCACCAACTTTCGTAGTATGTCTAGCCAACTTCAAATGAGCATTTCACTTGCAGCTTTTGTATGTATCCTGACCTTCCCTGTAAGAGGGTCCGATATCCACTTATGCACAGATCTGTAATATGTGAACAAATGCAATACTGCTGTGTTCCACTGAAGGGCCACAGTTATCTCTGTAATGACACTATCCAATTCTGATTGGTTGATATGTTGTGCATGCTTTTTTGGATGCAACCAGCATGTGTCTTCCACAACAGTTCAATTGAGCTCAAGGAGCCCTCCTGTGTCAAGCGAGTTTGTGTCAACCCAGACTTCAAATTCACACCTGTTAATGCACGTTTACTGCATACAGGGTTGTCGATGTACCCATGTAATGACTTCCATTATCATGTTTATAAAGGGAGCACCAGTGGCTTTGTCATCCCAGCCAGAAGTGACTGCAGTCACCCTGCATTTGATAAAGGCAGGAACAATGCAGATCCAACCACCCACAAGATAATGTCCCACCAGTTTCCCCACATAATGAGAACACGCTGTATCATGTGATGTGTCCAGGAATCTCTAGGAGCTCACTTCCACATTTCCAGTAAAGCATATTATGCTCCCCCCAGATCTGCAAGCCGAGCACACAAGCAGCATCCTCCAGTTGGTCTGAGTTTTTACACTTGAGCTCAAAGTCAGCAATATGTTCTCACCTGGGCAGTGGGTACTATGGTTTCATTGATGTAGATGTCATTAATATAAGGTAACATCACTTGGTAAGTTATCTCATCCTTAGATAGCACAGCATCTATGTCTTTCATGATGGCCACATTGAGCCTGAATCTTGTTCACATTAGGCAGTAATTCTACCCATTAAAGATCACTACCACAGTGATCGGTGCACATGTAGCTGCAAGTAGGCCTTTCAGGTCAAGCACAGAGACATTGGATCCCTTCCTTCACCATTATCAACATCTACATGTTCATTCAGCTCCTGATAATCTAATATGTGGCACACCTTTCATTTGTTCCTCTGCATCACAGCCATTAACAGGATAAGGCCTCTTGAAGAACCAAGCTGTTTTTCAGGATATGGAGTCAGCCATCCATTATCCAGCTATGCCTGCAGTTCACACTGGTATTCCTCAGACATGTTTGGGCACCGAGTTCTGAAGCTTCTCTGGTGGGTTATTTTCTGACCATTTCTTCAGTGCTGTCCATGCCTTCATGCTTTGAAAGAACTCTGCATATAAAGTAGGGCCTATCAATCCTCAAGGCAGCACAGATAGGCAGAATAGAAAACTGAATATCTGTCTATATCTCTGATATGAGGAATGATTATTTACATTATTTGAACCATTATCCTCATCTTCATTACCATATTCACAACATTTTGGCCATTGTACACTCCGGCCTTCAGGGGATTGAAATTTCAAACCAAACCCTTTATTTAGTCCATTATGTTAGATTATTTTTGTTCCATGTGACATGCCTCTTCCGGATGCCTCAGTTATTTCCCTTTAACTAAACTCTCCAAATTCTGTTTCACCACTGCTCTAATCTAGTATTGAACTGACAACTCTTTGGAACTAGTCACTGAATCTAACCAACACAGTTGTCAAATAGGGTTTGTTATTTATAGTGAAAATGATCTTGGTGAAATCAGCAAGATTTTTCATTCACAGCTAGCTTCGTAGCTAATAAAGTTGACATTCACAGCTAGCTTCGTAGCTAATAAAGTTGACATTCCACAGCTAGCTAGCTAATAAAGTTGACATTCACAGCTAGCTTCGTAGCTAATAAAGTTGACATTCACAGCTAGCTTCGTAGCTAATAAAGTTGACATTCACAGCTAGCTTCGTAGCTAATAAAGTTGACATTCACAGCTAGCTTCGTAGCTAATAAAGTTGACATTCACAGCTAGCTTCGTAGCTAATAAAGTTGACATTCACAGCTAGCTTCGTAGCTAATAAAGTTGACAGAATTATATTTTCTAGCATTTATCTAACTTCATTTATTAAAAATACATCAGTTTGTTATGGCCCATGTTATACACAAGTGGTTCTGAAATTTCCTTAAATTGAGGTTTGACTCTGGGGACCATCAGGAAATTTCCCAGTGGGCCAGTCTGCTATTAGTTGGATTCTGTGACTGAAGAAATTTAATCTTGCTTAACTTTTTAATATATTTAGCATTTTGAATAAAGTGACACCTCAAAGATGAAAAAGATTGTATTTCAACAGTGTAAAACTAAGATAAAAAACTTATTTCTATTAACCTAACTTATGAAATAAAATTTATATCTTCAGTTGTTCACCTCAGCTAATCTTATATGATCAAAGTAAATATAATGTCTAAAACTAGGATAAATTCATCTAAGTTTTTTTTTTTTTTTTTTGCAAGGATTGTTTACATTCTATCATAATTTTGTGAAAGTTACTTTATTCATATTGAATAGGGGAAAAAAAGTTAATACTGCTGCCCATAAATATAAAAATATTTAATATTATCCAGAATGTTTAAATACTTTAATTTTTAAAGACAACTTTCTAGAAAGTTTTTCTTACTTGTGCAAAAGTTTGGTCAACTTGATTTTTTCTCAACTCCTCTAATTCTTGTTGTGCCTAAAGAAAAAATATACATGATTAATAATTTAAAATAAAATCAACTACACATTGAAGATAATTTCAGAGTAATCTGATTTATGGATTAGCTTACAAAGTCACATGATTATTAGTAAAAAAAAAAATAAAATAAAATAAAAAAAATAAAATAGTAACAAAATGAAATCTAGTTCTAATTCTCAGTAAAAACAAAGATTATCAAATTAGACTGATTATGTTGAAATATCTGGACTTATCCATCAAGTTTATTAATATGTCCAATCCAATATCTACATATGCTTGTCAAATACTTCCCACCAAAAAATTACAACCAACTTGTAAATTTGCCACTTGTCAAATGTACATAAACTAATTAAAAGATTCACTCACTAGAACCTGGTTTGTAGCTTGCTTGATATAATATTGAAGTTTATATATCAGAGTGGATGTAGTAACCAATTCAAATAAATTAGAAAATTTATCAAAATGTTAATTTTGATTCAGGAAAACTTACTTCCATTAAAGATTTCTGTAAGGTTTGCTGTTCTCGCCTCCATTTCAGTTCTTCATCTTCTACACTTCTTTGTAGCACCTGTAATTTGTCATCCTTAAAGATGGAAATTTAATTATGGTAAATATTTAAAATGATGGTGATCATAATGTATAGTATAGATCCATTTAAAAAAAAAAAAAAATGGACCAAGAAAAGTCATTAAATTAGATTCTTTACAAACTAAATTTTTCTAATTATTTGGTTGGCATAAAAATTCCTTTATATTATTTTTATAGTAGCTTTATATGAACTCAAATAGAGAGTATGTAATTATCAGCAATGCTTAAGACAATTTACAGGGAACTGAGACCAATCTCTCTTAAGGTCAAACAAAAGCAATTGTAGTTTGTTAACCACTGCCACCATGCGGACATGAATGTCGTCTCATTCTTTCTTCTATGGAATCCTTCTGGAGGTGTCTTCTCACAAAAGTTGACTTCCCCCCTGACATCATGGCTCAAAGCTCATGGTTGGACATTGGGGATGGCAATGCAGGACCAAGTAATATGGAAAGGTATTGTTAATAGAGTTCCAACCAACCACAGGGAGGTCAAAGGAGGATGATGATCAGCATGGAGCTTTTCAAGAGTTATCAAACAAATATTTATGAGTTAATGTCCTATATATGAAATATAACTAAAGTATATTTTAGATACTAGAGATTTTATGGGGAAAAAAAAAAAAATGAAAAAAAATCTAAATGTACTTACTGTGACTTTTAAAAGATTCTGATATTTCTTTACTTGTGTTTCAAGTTTTGCAACAGTTTCATTTGATTCTTTCAACTGAACCATTAATGTGTCTACTTGTTTCTCATATTCTTCTGTGGAATTATTTATGGGAGCATTTTCCAATTTTTCCTTTAATGACATGCACAAAGTCTTTGTTTCACTAAATGCTGATTTCAATTCTTTCAACCTATCTTCAAGCTTTGTTTTTGTTTCTTCTGAATTTGTCTGAAGCTCTGTATACTAGAGAAAAAAAAAATGAAATTTGTATAAATTTCTGAAATGTGAATGAATTAGTATTAAGTAAAATAAACAACTCATTAAATAAAAGGTTTTGAGTTCCAACATTTTAAATTCTGTTAATTAGCAGTCAATGTGTATTGCACTATGTAATACTTGCATGTCCCCTGCCCACAAATTCTTAGCATAGCAGCAGTGGAGTGAATCCCTAACTCTTGTTTATTTCTGATTAGCCTCACTCTGGAGTACAATCATTAACCTAGGTTCAAGTTGTGTGTTGCTAGTAATAAAGGTGTAAAAACAAGTATTGTGACATAATTTATTTCATGCTCTGACATTACTTCATATATAATGGACTATTCCATTTTGATTGCAAGGAAAGATGAAAGATATAGACATGCAGCTTGATTTTACTGAGAAAAGGAATGCATAAGTAATAAAGAAGGAAAGATGAGGTGATAACACCCCATGTGTTTAACATCAGATTCAGTGAAATTAAAACCTTGTCAATTTTTAATCTTTTAATGTGTATCCTTACTTTAAATAGTAGCCTGCATTCATATTTATGATTGTTATTGCAATATTTTGTTAAAGTTGTTAAGCTCAAATAATTAATGATACAATGAAATTTATAATGGCTAATTCAAGCAATAAATTAAAAATTATGATTCATTAGAAAATTCAAAAACAAGAACCATGAAATTTTCACAAGGTACCACTAGTAATAATAATAATGAACCAATTATGTTAAATATATTGACAAAACTATACATTCTGCACTATGCAGAATGTGTAGAATAGCAAGAGAAACATAAGTGAATGCGGCATGTTAGTACAAGTACAGAGACAACAATATAGCACACATTGTACACTGGATGCTATGTCATGAATATAAATTGGAGAGAGCAGAAAAGTGGTATGAGCATAAACCATTTGCAGTAATGGAAAATGAGAACGTAAAGTGTAAAATGCAGCGTGTGAGTGTAATTGAAGCAAGAAGAACAGGCATTACTACTATTCAGAAGGAAGACAATATTGGATGCTTAATATAGTAGTACCAAGGGATGTAAGTGTAGTTGAGGAGAAAAGAGGAAAGATTTGAAACATGAAATAAATTTGTAGGGGCTTAAGAAAGTAGTTCTTATTGTTGTGAATACCCGTTACATTGTAACAAACAAAATCCTAAAATAGCTGGCTAAAAATGGGACAGTGATTCAAATAGATGGTTCAGCAAACCACTTGGAGTAGCCATAATTCTGAGAAAGATTGTCGATGTAGAGGGATGAAGAAATAGCAGGACTTATGGTAATTAATCACCCACTCCTGATTAAGACAAAACGTACTTAAGATAAATAATTATAATATAAACTAAAATTAGTATCAATTCATATACAGGTATCATGGAAATACAACCAACCCAATTAGTACTTTTATGGTAAAAGGTTGGCCTCTTAAAAGAGGCTGTATAATTTAGACCATCTGAGAATGCAGAAAGTTTTAAATCTAAAATTATGTTTAACAAAATGCTTCTAGAGAATTATATCTGAAGTGTTACCAAGAATGATATGCAGATTGCAATTGCTAATTATGCAGAATACTGTCTTAATCTTGTTTCAGTCTAAGAAACATCAACTGGTAAATAAAACTTTCTATAAAGTTAAAAAACAAAAATAAAACAAAGCTTTGAGGAGGTTATATTGTCAAAAAGAAGAGATTACAGAAAATTGGGTTAACTAAAAAGACAAAACTTCAAATACTTTTTTAAAATATAGCTAAAGTATAGAAAGCTTTAGGTTGCAGATTTAAATACTAATTCTAAAGTAGCAAATAATACAGCTCACAAAATAGGCAAACTATATAAACAGTAGAAAAATAAATAACTTCAAAAACATTTAAGTTCTTGGAGAAGCTCAACTGTAGAAACTGGTAACTTTTTTTATCTATAAGTAATTTCAAATAAAGATTAAAAAAAAAAAAAAAAAAAAATAAAACAAAAAATAATAAAAGAACAAAACATGAAGAAAAAAAGTTAAATCAAGCAAAAAAAACAAAAACAAAAAATAGCCCAACCATTTTTCACTGCTCCAAGGAAATGGCTTCAATACTGTTCACTTGCCACCTTCAAAACTAGCCTGTTTTTTTTTTTTTTTTTTTGTATGATCAGTAGCATTCTAATTTTGTAAGCTATTGTTACTGAGTGACCATCACAATTTTCGTTGGATCATATTTTGACTTAAATTTTAATCAAATACTTATGTGAAAAGCTGTTATAGCATTAGGAAATATCTGTTGACTTACTTTAAGTGTAGAATCTTTCAACTGAGCTGTCAATATGTCTATTTGTTTATGAAGATCTTCCACTGTTTCTGATTTTGAAATTTGTGCTTCTGATAATTTTTTTTCCAATTCATTTAATCTGATTTCAAGTTCTTTTTTCATCATTTCTGCTTTTTCAAGTTTTCTTACAGATTCTGATGTCTTAAAAAAAAAAAAAAAAAAAAAAAAAAAAGAAAAGAAAGAAAAAGAAAAGTCAAATTGTTAAGTTCATTCAATTAGGTTTCCAAAATATAAATCTAATGCAATGTCATAATTATAAGTATATTACATAATTTATTCTGTAATTTATTACTGAAATAAAGATCAAAACTTATTTGATTCACTTGACAAAATGAAAGAAATTCTTTCGCTTAATTGCACAAAAGTACATTAAATCTTTAGTATAGTTTATGCGGAGGACCAAATATTCTTAGCTTTTCATATGAAGCAAATCATAATAAAGTTAGCAACTTTATTAGTAAAATTATACATTTATAATTTCAATACAAAATATTTTACCAAATTAAAAAAAATCTTGTCAACTTACTTCTTTCAAGCCTTTTATATAATTAACTGCTTCAACTTCAAAAGATTTTAGCCATATATCATGTTCCTGAAAAGTTAAATACTTTGTGTTGTATTAAATTTATTTAGTAAGAGTTCATTTTTATTCAGTAAAATTAATTTTCTCAATTATAATTTGTGATATTGTTAATATTTTCAGGTTTGCCAATTAAAAACATTGCTAATTGTTGGATTTTAGATATTTTGTAAAGTCACCTTGAGCTTGATTGCTGTACTGATAATAGAATTAGATATCCATAAGTTTCATCTAAGATACACATTTAATTTTTTCTGAAAGACTGAATACTTTTCAAATGTTTCAAAAGGAAGTTTTATTTTTTTTTTTTAAATGAATTTCCAAGATATCAGACTTAAATGTTAATCTGAGTGATTGTTAGACATTTTAATATTTAAGTTATTTTTCCATTAAAGAAATTTTACAATTATCTAACAATGACAATAAGTAAGTTTTCAAAATTTTATGAAAATTTTTGAATGCTTTTGACATAATTAGATAAATGTTGGTCAAAATAAAAACTCACCAGTGATTCTGTAACTGATATGTCAGGAAAAATACGCATCAGGACGGATTTATCTAGTGATTGGCATTGCTGAAATCACAGAAAGAAAAAACATTTTAATCACCAATTTATAGCAAAAATGTTTAAAGTCATCTATATAATTAGGAAAAAGTTAGCTTTCAATTTTTAACATCATTAAAAGATGCAATGAAGTAAAATTCTCAACACTTATAAACCCATAAAAAGACTAGCAAATTTTAAAAAAATATTTTATTACTTGCAAATTAAAGGATTCCCTTTTTTATATTCCCTTTGCTGATGGAAAAAAAATTTAAGGAAAAATTTGATTTTTAGATTAATTGTTAACATGATAGATTTAAGTCAATTTTGTTCTGAAACTATCAGGTCAGTATTCAACCTGAGTAAAAAAAAAAAAAAAAAAAAAAAAAAAAAAATCAGTTTTTGAATGAATTTCTCAGACAATCCCTACTTGGAAGGTTTGTAAAATACAACAACTTTCCTACTCATTTGGATTTGGTTTTACTTGGCAAATATAGCAATAGTGAGATTATTAGCGGTTTTCATACAGGAAACATCTGACATTCATAGATTGAACAGTTGACATTACTTTCAGTTGAAATTTATAAAGTCTTTATATATATATATATATATATATATATATATAAAATAGACTACTCAAGTCCAAGGTTATCCCTCTAGTATCGATGGATGTTTTCTTCCTAACCATTTTTAAGATGGTGTAGAAAGTCATGAATATCATATTGTTTAACTTTCATAACATCTAAATTTTGTAGGCATATATAATTAAAATAATAGAAGTGAATTCAGATTATTTCCTAGCTGGTAGTGATATGATATATACAACAAAAACATACCTTATTTTGTAGGATATAAGATAATCTACATTCAGGATGAAATCTGCTTGAAAAGTAAATTTTATGAGAAAACAGTAATTCAAAGATCACAAGTTTCATATGCCACAAAATATATGTATATCACACACACACACAAAGTAGATGCTGCCAAATTATTGGCCGAAACAGAAAGCCTTCCCAAAAAGATCTCATTTGATATGCCTATACAGAGACAACAGCCTAAGAGAACCCAATGGCCCTAAAATAGATTCAGAAAAAAAGATAAGTGTCCTAAAAATGATTGGATTTGAAATAGAAATAAAAACAAGCACACGAACAATAAACTTCTTAATAAACTTCACTCTCAACCTAAACAAAGAAACTTACAAACCATACAAAAAGGATAATGACTCCCACATAGATACACACATCCTCTAACCACCTACTCTCAAGTATCAAGTTTTTCAACAACAGAAACAAAAAATGCCATATAACACACTTAAAAAAATTTTAAAAAATAATAAAGCAGATATACGCAATAGCTAAAATACACCACCACAACCAAAACAGAACAGAAAAATATAATCTGACTTAACCTACCATGCAAGAAAACTGTCAAAACAAACATCACCAGAACATTCCTAAATCTAATAAAAAAATACTTCCCATAACAAGCAACTTAGCTGCAGCTGCACTAAGAACACAACAAACACAAAAAAACACAACAAAAATATAGTACAAACAAAGATCCCCAATGCAGTTGCTTAGACAAAACCACATGTCCACTACATGGAAACTGCCTACAAACATAGTAAAGATTTTCCAAGCATAGTTTAGATGTGGCACAAGGCCAAAAGCATGGGGCATCCAGTGAGGAACAAACTCACTTTTCAGTAGTAACTCACCTAGCAAGACAAGCTTGCTAACTATTACACCATGCTGAGGTGCCCAAACTGCCTACAAACATAGTATACAAAGCTAAGGTCAACACAAACAACACTACAATGGCACCACAGAAGGAACATTCAAACAAAGAAAATATACACAAGCTCTCATTCTACAACAGAAAATACTCCAACAGCACCAATCTATCCATATACATATGGCAACTAAGACAAAAACATCACACCAAAAATAAGCTGGGAAATTAAAGAAAAAGATGTGCATTTATTTTAATAACATATCAAGGAGATGTCTACTTTGCCTGCAAGAAAAAGGGGCAATAATCAGTCACACCCAACAAAAAAACAGATCAGAAGTAATCTCAAAATGCAGACATGAAAACTATCACAATTCAAACCAAACTGATAACACCAGCAACAAAAACTGAACACAAATGGGAATGACCCCCCACTAAAAAAATGAAAAAAATGGTAGAACACTAAAACCACCAAAACATTACCAGCACTGTTACCAACACTACCACCATAAACACAACTACCACCATAACAATTAACACAGCCACCACAAAAGATAACCATTAGCCTTCCAAAATTATTATTAGTATTGTCAGTATTATTGTTACTACTTTAAGAACAACTACCTCATAACTAGAGATGTGCAGTTTAACCGAAAAACTTACTTTTTTCAGTTTCATATCACTACCAAGTGACCATATCCAAAGAAACATTATTGAAAAAGACTTTCAGATGTTAATAAAATTAAATTTTATCAACATTTATACCATTGAAAGAGAAAGATTTAACAAAAATGTTAAAAACATTTAATTGACTAGTTTTAGGAAATAAATGTGAAATCTATTTGTCCACAAAAGAAATGAAGAAAAACAAGGAAATACAACATGATGTCTGAAACCTATTGGTTTCAGTTTTCAAAAACTTTTTGTGGTAAAATTAACAAAATAGCAAAAAAAAAAAAAAAAATATATATATAGTTTCCAATTTCATCTTAATGTTAAATTTTACAAAGTTGGATTTTTTGTAAGGGTTTTCTAGTAAGCCATTACGCCAATCACAAAATAATTTTTTTGTAAACAAGAAAAACAAATGAAGATTTTATTATTTTTTTTTTTTATAAATAAATGTGTTTTTTCATCTAAGGTATGCACCTAAATTAGATATTAAGAATAATTAAAATAGTTCTTAATTTCACTTTTAAAATAATGTGTATATTTCCAGATTCGCTAGAAACATAATTTTATTTGTAGAAAACATCTACAAATAAAATTATGTTTCTAGCAAATACATGTAAAATTAGATATTAAAAAAATAAATTTTTAATCTCAGTTTTAAAATGTGTGTATTTTCAAGCCTACAAATCATTTTTTTTTTAACCCAAAGTAAAAATTATTTTTTTTAGCCACTAGTGGTCAGTGGGTGTTTGTTACTGTTCTGCTCATAAAATTCTTATAAACAAGGAAAATTAATTCCTTTTATTTTTACAAATATCTACTTTATTATTTTATCTGGCAAATAATACACTGAAGATTATATTAAAATAGTTTTAATTTCAGTTTCAAAATTTGTTTATAAAAAAAAGAACAGGTGATACTTGCAGATTTGAAAATGTACACATTCTAAAAATGAAATTAAAAGCTTTTAATTATTTTTAATATTTAATTTTAGATGCATTCGCTAGATAAAAAACAAATTTATTTAGGAGAAAAATAACTCATTGATTTTCTTTGCTTAGAAGAAATTTATTTGCAAAACCCCAATAACAGTTGAATGGCGTACCAGAAAAGAATTGACCCAGTTTTTTTTGTTTTTTTTTGCTTACTTTGATTTTTGAAGGAATTCGCTTCCACGGGTCAGAAGAAATGAACATCTTCCTGGTTGTAGTTTAAAGAGTGTTTTAATAGAGTGTACAATTTCAAGAATATTGATAAAAATTGCTCACTTTGATTTTGCAAAACAAAGTAACATGTAAAATTTAGTCTAAAAAAAAAAAAAAAAAAATTTTTTTGGCTTTTTGAAGCAAAATACCATTTTAACTTGCTGCAAAAAAATAATTCAATGAAAAAAAAAAAAAAAAAGCACATACAAATTACCTATTTAGAAAGATTATCTCATTCTTTCCAGCCATATATTTTTAAGATTGGACCAGAAATAGACGAGATATTGCAAGTTGAACGGATTAAGTATTATCAATCTCAAACAAAATCAGATATCAACTGGAAATGCTATCATTACACAAGAAAATGAATGCCTTCATTAGAATGCAAAAATACTAAATTAAAAACCAAAAAACTGAATCAAAAAACGCAGTATCAAGGAAAACAAAACTAGAAACTGATACCAAAACAAAAATTGCCAAACTGACCAACTCTACTCATAACCATCACTACCACCATTAGTAGTGTTTTTATCAGTCATTATTACTATTTCTACTATTGTTATTACCATCATTATGATTACCACAACTCTTATTACCATTGTTATTTTATTATTATTTTTTTTTTTTATTCATTATTTTTATTAATTCATTATCTATTTATTTATTTTTAAATGTTGCTATTATTGTTTCCATCATTAAGGATAAATTTACTGCTCATCATAACCAATAACACATCAATTATTATCAATATATCAATAATATCACAACTAATATTACCATTAACATAATCACAATTGTTAACACAGCAGCAGTTATTGTGGTAAAAAAAAAAAAAAAAAAACAAACACCACCATGTCTACAGACAGAACCCAACTTAATCCACATAGTGGTAGTAGTCCCAGATTAATGAGTGTGGGAATGTGTCTACATATGTGCAAGTATGTGAGCATGTCTGCCAGTGCAAACAGCTAACCTGAAAAATGTTAAAACCATCCCCACCTGTCCCCTACTAAGACAACATTGTAACATTTCATATGTAGCAATGTTGAAAACGAAATAGACAGAATGAAACTATATACATGTGCTTGAACACATGAATGCGTAACTGTGCCTAACCGAAGATTATGAATATGAACTAACTATGCATACACCCGTTTGTATGTGTGTATGTATCATGTGTCATCCCAAACAGTCAAACACAAATAAATCATAAATAGATCCACTTTTGAAAAAATAAACAAGTTTGTCTGAAAATCACAAAAGCATGAAACTCGAGGTTACAAATTACTATCCATGCAACCACATGTTAGTTCTATCACCAATATTGAGCACTTTCCACTAAATACCACACACACACATTGTTATATTTAAAATAATCGGTATTATAGTTTATGATAGTTTTTTTTATACATCAGCATTTATCTAGGAATTCCTTTTATTCATCTTCATTTTTAAAACTAATTTAGAATGTTTCTGCTAAACATAGGTTTTCACTGCTAGCATTGCAAAAAGTTGTCCTATGAGTTCCCATTTCTACTAATTTTTTTCTATTTTTTAAAATTTTTCTGTGGATTTATTTATATATTTTCAAAAGTGCATTTGGTTTTATTTCTATAATTGCATAAAAAAGTAAATGCGAGTTTAATGTTAACATCTTCCACTACACACATGCACTTGAGTGATAGCTGCCACATGCATATGAGCTGCCATTCACCCATCTCTCCCACATAATAGTTAAACTTAATCCATAACAAAGAAAATGTTATTTGGTAGTAATACAGAAGCAAGAAATTGATTAAGAAATTTGACATTAAAGGTGACAGTAAATTCATGCATAGAGACATGCAAACTTACAAAATCCACTAGACAAACTTTCAACTCAAAATCTTCATACCTTTCACTATTGGCATATGAAAATAATTAGAATCATTCCTTCAACAATTCAGCAGAAAAGCTGACACCATTCAAAACTGGAAATTCTTATTTAAACTTTAAATAATCAAAAGTATTCTATTTAATGATGAAACCTGCTAATATTAAAGAACTTTCCCATTTTCATTTCATAATAGTTTAGTTTTGTTTTTTAGTAATTTGCAATATCTAAGGTTTAAAATAAATTTTTAAATAATGAAAAATCTTTCTTGAAGCTTTTATTTTAGTTTAAATTTCAATAGATTAAATTTAATATTTCCAATGAGTAAAATACTTTGCTGCATTTCAAAACTAATTTCAATTGGAAGGAGTTTGTTTTGAAATTGCTGAAATTTTTGATTTAAGCACCATTTTTTGCCACCTGTCATAATTAAAGAGAATTACATTCTGATGGTATTAAAAAGATCCAAAAAATAAAATATACTCTTCTGAAACTTTGACAAATATCAGCTGATTTAAAATTAATCAGACTTGAAACAAATATTTAAGTTTAAAATATTGCAGAAATGCATTTTTTAACACAACAGTAGCTATTTATTTAAACTGATGATATGATGGATGTTTAATGTTCTACAGGGCTTTATCTGTTAAAAAAATAATTGAATATAATGAGTGCCTTTTACATGTAATTTTTAAGTACTCAGTAATCTTATAAATTTTGGAAAATATTTCCTGTAATATAAAGTTTTATTGAATTTTAGATACTTTAGCTTAAAATTTACTATAGCTATCACTCTTATTTTCTGATCATGTGTATGAACAACCCTTTCTACAAAAATCAGCACATTTATACACATGCAAAAAAAAAATTCAAAATTCTTTAAAAAATATTGGTGCTTGACAATTTGTACTAAGTTTTTCCATTTATCATTAATATAGCTTTTATTAAATATTTAAGTGAAATTAATACAGAATTTTAAGATTTGAAATTTAATAATTCTAATTAAAAAATCACAATTATGTAAAAATTCATTATCCATTGAAAAACTTTTTAAGACAATAGTGCCTTTATTATGTTTTTATAAAAAGCTTTTCTAATTAAATGTGTGTTATTACATTTTTTTATGATTCAGAGCAAATTTTCTGTTAATGGTGTTCATTAAAAAAAAAAAAAAAAAAATCTAATTTCATTAATTTTTCATTAAAATCCAACAATTATTTTATTTTTGCAGTGTGCTTTTACCACAAAAAAGCTAAAATTTTCTATATTAATAGTTTAATATTAATTTGTTGTGAAGAATGTCAATATTGTTATAAGTTATTTGGAGATTGTAAGTGAGAGAAGAGGCAAATTCACCTTAAATTGTTATAACCAATCAGTCATCTATATATACTTTGACCACATTTACTTGAACCATAATCATTTTATTTTCATTACATTTAAAACAACATTCCTAGTTTTCATGAATTTTTATGGATTAGTATATAAACAAAAGCATAAAAATCTGTTAGTTTCCAGTATTGTATTTTATAATCCTACTTCAGTTTCAAAAAGATAACTATTGTGTTGTACCATAATCTATACATATCTTAAAGCATAAAGTAATCAACCACCCTCCAGTTGGTTTACATGATAAATCTACTTGTTCCAATCTATAACAAATTAAGAATTAACCAATGCAGCAAAAATAGCACAGAAGTTATTAGTTTTCAAATGAAAATGTCATGTTTAAAGATGTGATATAAATTATATTGGGCAACAATTTCAAATCTTTTCAGTTTATGAAACTGCAGAAAAGACATTCACATCCAAAATGCTAAAAAAAGAATATTTGAAAATTTGATTTCATGACCAACACACTTGAATTTAAAATCCAAACCATTAAAAATATAATCAATTCTATTCAAATACATACAAAAGATTACTTTATTTATATTTTATCAGTGATGATTAGAAAAATAGCAAAAACAAAACCAAAATAAAACAATAAACAAAAGATAAAGGCACTTTATGAAAGTAAGCAGTTATATGAACAGTAATAAATTTGTGGTATAACAAATTGGCAGGTATATCATAAGGGATGTTTATAATGCAATTTGTTTTTATTTACCATGGTATTTTTTACAGCATTACTTATTTTCTCCACAGCAGATTTCTCAGCTTTTTCTACAGCTTCCATTGCTTTCCAATTCCTTTTTCTTAATTCCTAGAAACAATCAAAATCAAGCAATTCTACTATTGAGCATAAGAAATAAGTCTTAACTAGTTACATTAAAATATTCAGCCAAAATAAATGATAAATGCAAGGTGGTGCTAAAAAGTTATTAGCCCAATCAAGGGATTAATAAACAAATCTGTTTATTCATTTGATCAGAGTTTGGAAAATGGGTTGGGTAGAGAACTTTTCAACACTGCTTCAATCACAAGTAATTTTAGAAAAGTTATTACTTGTAAGGAAAAAAAAAAAAAAAAAAAAAGAAAAAAAGTTAATTAGTTTTGGAAATGCATTTTTAACAATTTTAAGTTGTAAAAACACTAATTTACATTAAAAGATCTCAATTCATAGATCCAAAAGAAAATGTAATTTTCTAACAAATGAAGCAATTTTTAGCAAAATGGACAAAATTATTCAGTTTGCAAACTTTTTTTCTATGTTATATTTCAAGTTATTTTCTAATGGGTAATACCAAGTATACTTGCAAGTGATAAACACTTAACATATTCCATAAGTGTTTTTATGTTATGTTTTTGTGTTGTTTATGTTTTTTAAGTAGAATTTTTGGATTTGACCATCATTAATCAGTTTATATTAGAAATGATTTTTACACAATTAAAAATATGTCACATAAGGTTCCGATGACACCTAAATGAGAATATGTTAATGGTAATATTTATTGAATAACTTACAAAACAAGATTGTATTCTTTTCTATCACTCAGAATATTTTTGGCAAAAAAATATACATTAAACTGACAAGGTGTAAATGCAAATGAATATTTTCTATAAAAATATTTTCATGCACTACTATCATATAAAGGTAAACATGTCCAATTAAAACATACTAAGCATTTTAATTTTTCAATTATATATTATACACAAGAGTACATTATGTTGCAAAAATACAGAAAGTTACTTGGCAAAAATTTTTTAGAACAGGACATTTGATCTATGATGAAATATGAAATTTTTCTTTAAAAAAAAATTTAAAGAGTTTAATACTTACTTGATCAAAAGTAAGTATTAACATGTCAAATTAACCCTTTTTCACTTGGATTTAATATCTATTGTTTACAATTAAAATTAATTTGGTTTTATATAACAAAGTAGGTACTTAAGTTTGCATTTGTGAAGGAATTCATTTTTATTTAAGATTTTGATTTTTAAAACAGAATTTGGAATTTTCTTCCAGCCACAAGCAGTTTTTATTAGCACTGCAATTTCCCATTTAATGTTGGTAGTCATGTGTTTAAAGTTGTGTCATTAGGCATACTTTCTTTCAAAAGACACTTTATGATTATAATACTTTTACTTTAGATTTTTTTTAACCTATAGGAGACTACAATTCTTTCCATTGTCATTAATTTTCCTAACATTGTTTCTCCTATATAATTTTTTTCTGTATTGTTTTACCACAGATTTATTATTAAATCATTTATTTTCAAGGTATTTTGTTTTATTTCTACAATTGCATGAAATAGTATCATTACTATTACTGATAGCATCGTTTTCATTGTTAATGATAATTGTTTTTTTGTTTTTTTTTCATGGAACAGTAACTTATTTAATAGTAAATCTATTAATGGGACATCTATTAATGGGACAAATTACTATTTATTGGTAAATAGTTTCAATTAACTTTAATATTTTTTTGTTTTACTCAGTTATAAAATGAGTTAAACCAAATTATATTTAAACTTCTACAGTTTGTTTATATAGTTTTCCATTTCATATCCTAATTTGTACCTGTTTTTCTTTGAGCTAATTCATAATCTTTATTTTCATTAAAATATGAAAGTTGTATTGTCTACAAATCAGGTGACCAGCAAAAATGTGAAACTACATGTAATAAAGCTGAAAATTGACCAGATAAAACAGATTGAAAAGATAGACAGAACTAATTCAAATAATATAAATTATTCTTTTAAACTACCTAAGATAGCATTTTAACTAATCAAAAAACCTTTTCGAATCAGCCAGCTAATGTAATATACCAATATCTTTAACAAACTACTGATTATGATTAAAAAAAAAATTCCCTATAGCTGTTTTAGTTTGTTTAAATAAAAATAAGTTACATTTAAGTGATCAAGAGGAAAAATGTAAATTTTTAGTGTTAAAAAATATTTATGAAGTAGAAAAAAGTGATTTGTTAGGAATGAAGCAGTTAGTAAAATTAATTTCTCCAAATTAGAAAAAAACATTCACACAATTTCAAAGCTAACAAAAAAAGTTCTTACATCATTCTTATTTTTAAAAGCCTGAATTTCTTCTCTAAGCTTTTCAATTTCCCCAATTTGAGTATTTAAAGAGGATGTTAAAGTTTGAATTTCACTCTCCTTCTCATCCACTCGGGCTTTAGTTTCAGTTTCTTTGTTTCCAAGTTCTGCAGTAAGTCGAACAATTTCAGATTGTTTTTCTCCAAGCCTACAAAAAAAAAACATCTCTAATGATTCATAAGTGTACATTACTTTTGTACTGATAAACATTTTTTTCTTAAAACAAAAATTAGAAATTTTTATTTTGGTGGGTATAACAACAAAGACACAAAAACTTAACATATCTCAGGTTGTCCACTTTATAAAAATCTTAAAGGATTATAGAATACTAAACACCTTTGATAATAGCTTGAGTTTTCATACATTGTATATACAATATATTGGACTAATACAGAAAAACATCACATTTAAGACATGAAATTTAAATTTCAGCTCAAGGTCAAAATATTGGGTTAAAACAAAAGCCTAGTATTTTTCAATAGGTTCCATTTCACATAAAATTATTATATATATATATATTTTTCATTGCAACACAGAAATTTCAATGTTTCAGAACTAAAATTGTTCCAGTTTCAAGTAATATTAAAAACATCAGAAAAAAAAAAGATTTACTTTTGAAAGCTAAGTAATATTATATTGAAGAGTTTAAGTAGGAAATGAAGGGAAGGGGTATACGTTTTCAAAATTGATGTGTGAATGCCATTAAAAATTTTATAACAAAGAAATGTTATTTACTAACAGAAAAGGTATAAAGAAAAAACTACATTCATTTACTCAATTCTAAAAGGAGTTTACATACTTACAATCTTTCATGTTCTACTAGAGCTACTTTGGTACAAGCTAGGGATTCCTGTTGGACATCTCCATTGGGTGCTCCAGCAGGCTCTTGGCGTTCACCAAGATTTACTCCCACTTTAACAGGTTTCTCATGAACTAACTTGTTCTCTTCAAGCAGAATCATGTTCTTTTGTTTTACAATCTGCACAAAATAAAATTAAAGTTTTTTTTATTTTATGTTTATACAGAACAGTAATAAATCACAATTTCATTGAAATTTTTTGTAGGCAGACACATTTTTGTAACTTCATGATTGTGAACATTCTAAATTTCTTTGAAAAAAAAAAAAAAAAAAAAAAAAAACTTGGAATTATCAAAGCATGAATGAATTCTTCCAATATAAGAGATTAAACATACTCACTTCAGTATTTCAAAAGGTTTAAGATTCTTGTAAACACCTAATCCAAGCAAAATTTATGTAATGCTTACCCCAAGCTCTTCTTCCAGTTCTTCCACTCTCTTAGAAAGATTCATCATATTTTTTTCAGCCTCCTAATTGGATTAGGAAAATAAAATTGACAGTAGCCATTTTTTTTTAACAAAAATGTTTCAATTAATTCAAAATAACTTTGTGTACACAAAGTTTCAGTTCCTTATATTTTTTCCCTTTTATTACATCAATTACCATAAAGGTTTGAAAATAAGACATTCAAAACTTTTCAACTGTTCACTGGTTCTTTTATTAAGGATTGTTTATTTTTTGTATTGCCAAATCTTCATGGTTAGAATACACAATTTTATATATTTACAATTTTCTTCTAATTTTTTTGTTATGTGTTTTCACTAGTTACACAGTAACTAGTCATTAATTATCTACACAAAGTAATTTTTTCAACATTCTGGCTAGCAGAAAATTATATTGTTCTAATAAAAAAAAAGTTATCATTAGCCTTACATCTCATCTGTCATAAAACTTTCAAATGAACAGTAGAAGCTCTGGACAAATAAAAATAATTTAAAGCTAAGTATTAACAGGAAATTTTTTTTATTAGAAAAAAAGTGTTGAACTATGTAACATATGACAGTGAATACTGAACAATTTCCTGATAAAAGGAAACTTGAGATCACAAAGTCTTCAGAAGGATGCTAAGAATACCATAGATAAAAAAATGAGAGCAATGAGTAAGATTTAAGGAGAATTGGAATGAAAAGAATTATTCTACTTATAATGAGAAAGACAGTTGAAGTTTGAGACACACGAGAAAAGTGGGCTTGGAGAATTTGTCACTGACAGGATATATTGAAAGCAAGGACAGAAGGTTTGGTCAGATTTTGTTTAATGCTGTGACAACCCTGAGATCATTTTACACAAATAAGTGAATATATATATATATATATATTACAAATTACTACAATTCATTTTAAATAAATAATCAGTTAATTTGAATCTGTTTAAACCAGTCCCTATATACCCATAAATAAAAACTTTAATGGAATTTAAATCTTTAGAAACCCTATTTGGC